CTATAATGGCTTCACAGCTGGCTTTTACAGTGGAAGAAGTATCAGCTCTTCAGAAGGGTTCCTGCTCCCAGCACTCAGTGGTATCTGTATTTCAGTACTGCTCTAGGATTACTGAACCAGTAGGCTTTGCATTTCCTGATCAAACATATACTTAAATAAGACGGCTAGTGGGAGATATGCATATCTCATCTTTCATCACAGGTGTTTATTAACTTGTGTAATGCTTACATGGTCCATAACTACAAAGTAAACAGGGACTGGTGCTTCCCAGCTTACCGAAACAATGTTTGCTGTATGTTCCTAGGAAAAAGATGGGGCTTTCCCCCCTCAAAAAAAACAATGAAAAGGGATCAAGTCCTGAACCTCTTCTAGCTATTGCAAATAAAACAGCTAAGCAGCTGAACAGATTGCCATTTTTTCTGTGTGCAATTCTTAAAATTTAAATTCTGTTCACCTTTCTACATTTCCTTTCTGTTTTCTTCCAGAAATACAGGGTCATGTTGTCCCAAATCCTCCCATTGCTACAAATGTCCTGGGCAAAACAGGCAAGATAGGGTGTAAGCTATAACCCATCAAAATTTATCACAGGAAAACAAAGGTTAGTTGAAGGAGCAATAGAATGCATCTCCTGTGTGGAGCCAGCTGCTCTATCTGCAAAGATTTAGCTCTAGCTGGCTCATGAGCAAGCAAATGTATAGTCTAACGCATGCTTGCAAGATACGGGGTGGGGAAGGTACTCACCAACTGAAGCTGACACACAGAGATCAGCTCCTCCTACACCATGGCAAAGAAATCTATTTTGACTATTTCTTGTCTGGGCACAGCAGTGCAAGATAATTTAGGATGGAAAGTTAGGAGAGTGCTTTATAGAACTGCTTTTTGACACTCCCAGACTCAACACCAGGGTCACTGGGACTTACTTGCAGAGGCAGAGAGATGTTTCTGGGAAGAAAAACAATGAATTCACCAATCCATTATTTTAAGTTTTCTCAACTTGTTGACTAAAAACTTTCTAGCAGCCTTACAGAATTTAAGCTCCTGAAAACAGAGTTGTCTCCCCCGGTTACTTTCCACAGACCTTTTAGAAGTAATCCACAGCCCACAGGTTGGAAACAAATCTTGAAGAGAGAAGAGGTAATGTTTTAGGCTGTGTTTCCTCAGGTAAATAAAATGTCTGAGCTCCCATAATAGAGAAAAATACACCCACCCACCCCCTTTCCTGTTCCACAGCTCTCCGCTCCTACCTCTCTTTTCAACCTGAACTCCAAGCTGCCCCAAGCAGGAGCTTTGTAAAGCATAATTGAAGGGACCATGGATACTGAGCATGCTACAGTATAATAAATATTCCCCCCGCAGAGCTATCATACAGAAGCAGTAATACTCAGTCCTTAAGAATCTTGAGGCCCAGAAGAAAAATAAAGCAATAAAAGTTCCTTTCATTAGTTTAAGGCCATCCCATTACGCAAGGCAACCACAGCTTAATTACCACCACCCCCTGAAGCAGTTGTGGGGTTTTTTTTAACACCTACAGACAATAAAATAACCCTGGCTTTAATTATGGACAAGCACTAATACCTCAGCCAGGTTACAAACCTCTGAGAACCAGCAGAGCAAGAAAAGTTGACCAGAAATAAATGTCCCTCACTCGCCTGGTCCCCTCTTATCCCTTCCTGCTCATTTAAAGTACCATTAACCTTGCAAGCTAAGCATTTTTGCAACGAGCACCTGTCCTTACTGCAATGAAACATTCACCAGGAAGTTCACACTGAAATATTGCAAGATCGTGATCCTTAAAAGCCTGAGATACTCTGCCAATGCAATTCTTGGAAAAGTTTAATAAAAACCCAAAGAAAGGTCACAGTAAACTTACACATTCTAAAACACCTCAGAAATGCAAAATCACTTAAATTAAGAGCTTGGCATGCTGTTTGCAGACCTGGCTAGTAACTGCAAGAAAAGAAACACAACTACTAGAAATGAAAATTCACTGAATTCTAACTTTGGCGTGCTATCAATATCACTAGACTAGCCCCTGAAGCTGTGAATACCCCAGCTGTAGTAGCCCATTCTGTGCTAACTATTCTGGCAAACAGCAAGTGCTTGGAGCGTTCAGACAATTAAACAATATAGCCAATACTGGGTGAGTAAACAGCCTGAGTAAGAGGGTTACATACCCCAGCCAACTCTGCCTGCTTGCCAAGCGATCTTTCTGGATGATCAGGACAAACTCCCCGCAGTAAGTCAGCACAAAGACGACAAGCCTACAGCTGGTAACAAAGCTGGTCGTGTAAGCAGTAGTAGTATGGTCTGCAACTCCTGCATAAAATCTCTGAGGACTACAAAACCAGGGGATGTTATCAAACTCTCCTCCCGGAGGCAGCTCCAACACAGCAAATTAAATGTAAAATGTTTCTCACATCTCTTAACCAGCTTTGATTAAACTCAATGCAAGACAAAGGCTAGAAGGAGCACAGCGTGAAGTTCCCAGGAAGACAAGTACAGGTGTTCCTCTCCTCCTGGTTACTTCTTGCCACGCACTGAATAGCGTGACCTGGAGATGCATCACCTGAAACTCAGCCAGCACAGACACCAGCCTTTTCTAAACACTGCTCTCTGTGAAACCACTTCAGGGGACAAAGTTCCTACTGCTTCCATGCATGCAAAATTATACTGACTGACCACAGATCTAGTACTTACAGACAGAAGTCATTGCATTTTTCCTCTCTAAATACTGGTTTTCACCCCTTATTAGTCAATCCCAGCATCCTTAATCACTTCTTTTTGTACTGACTAGGTCCTCTGCCTTTGCTTTCTCTTCTCCTGCTTTCTCACATTAGTCATTCACTTTCTGTGTAATGACAGATGTGGCTTTAAAGTATGTCAACACTTACCATTTACAAAGGCATACCTTACAAGAGATTTGTTAATACACTAGCAAAACATTCTAATATAGGAGTCTGTAGCACCTTTGCCGATCATTTTCATATTTATACACACATATACATACACATATACATACACCCATATACATACCAACTTCAGCTGATAATTGTGATGAGTTGAAGTTGCTAGCACAGGCCTGGCTTAAACTTTTATACCAGGTAGAAATAAATACCTTCACTTTCACATTCTCTGTCTTCCCACACCACTGCAATGTTAAAAGATTTAGCATTACTGCATTCAGTGTAGCTTCTTTGCTCATCCTTCTATTTAATGTGGTCATGGGCAGATATTTTACTACACCCAGCTGTGTAGTAGGAGAGATTATCAGCCCAACATGCTTGTCACTGATGCCACATATTTGGTGGATCAGTCCACGTTCAATCTGCTTTATATGAAAACCAACTGCATTTGAGATAATACAAAAGACATCTGCTCACAGCCTGTTTCCCACCTTATCTACAGAAGAACATCCATGCATTTAATTGCTTCAATAAAAGCAACACAAATTTCTGCAGAGTCCAGCCCCCCAGTTGGTGATGTTTATGTACCTTTACCCTATATAATTTACACGACATGAACCACAATTGAATCCACTTGCGGTGCTTATAATCACAGTGGTTTCATTGGAACTGTGCTAGTTCAGAATCATGTAATTGCTCTGCTTTGTGCTTAGACCAGGGCATCATACAACCAGGGTGGAATTACCTGCTGCTGTTTTAATTCACTCCTTCTTGGCTTCACTTCATTTTTTTTTTCCCCCAGGTAATGTATCTTACCATGCATGTATTGTGCCCTCTTTTTACCTTTTCCCTCAGCTTCTAATCCTTTTGCCTTTTTACAAGGCAAAAAATCTCTTTCCATTGTCCTTCTTTAGCCCATGAGTTGCAATCCCACGTTTAAAACTGAAACTAAAACCTTAATTCCCTCCAGCATCTCACCCTACCCTTGCCCTCCCTATCGCCCCAGCCATCGCTTTACCATCTGCACGTCCTGTATTTTACCACGGTGAACACCCACCACCCGGAGAGACGCCGAGACCGAGCGAGCAGCTCTGTCCAGAACTGGTTCATCTCTTTGCCAAGCCCCTCGGATGAGAAGCCGGTCAGCAGAACCATGGCCTGGGCAGCAGCTCGGGGTTTATCCACGCTGAGCAGCACCACTCCAACTAACTCTGGAGAACCTGGAAGGGCAGCAGTACTGAAATTGAGCAGGAAAAAATACATCCATGTGAAAATTTTTTGACCAAAACTAGTGAGTGAGAAAAGGTTAGCTCCTTTCCAGAGCAAAGTGTTTAAATATCAAAGTTTTGCCGTGTATCGAAACACAGAGTTGAAACCCGCGGCACACGCTCATTTATTTGCAGTGATCGCTAACAGGTTATACGGCCCCCGGGGAAGGAAACGCCACCGCAAAGCGCTTGCCCGACGCCCCACACCCCACCCGGGGACCCACGCTCGG